TTATAGGAAACGACTAAATTTATCAGTGAGCCGCCTTATATTCTCAAAAAACTTCGCCATAGTTTTTGGAATTAATTTTTCAATATTTTCCAGTTTTTAGTTTAGTGCAATTTAAAACATCCTTCATGTCAGAACTTGTCAAAAGCTTGTGGGACATCATGGTAGACAGCAGAACAAATTTGTTTTTCTTCAATAGATTTTTCTATTACGTCCGTTACTCGGTGAATTTGGCCCATTGTTGAATGTGTTGTTCGGAATGTAAATTGTCGGTCGGGGGTGATTTTCTTTTTTTCGGCAATGGGTTTTATTCTTTTTAATAATAACTTTTCGAAAAGGTTAGACACTATCGGTAGTAGCGATATGGGTTGACCTCGTTCGCCGGTTTTCCAGTTTTTATCATACTGACTTCCGCGAATTTCCAGATGCTGGGAACATATTTCAATCTGAACGTATCATTAAATAGGTATGTTAGTTTAACTATCCACTTTTCTGGCAAGTTTTAGTGTTTCTCCAGTGATAAGGTCATATCCTTGTGTCTTTTTAGCAGGTAAATTTTTAATTTCTTGTGCTATTTCTTTATGTGTAACTAGATTTATATCTTCTTCTTGTGGAGTGATTGTTACTTCAAGTAAGCTGCCATTGATGTTTTCGTTTAGTTTGAAAATTCCAGCAAGGTGACCGGGAAACAATTTGTCTATTTATCTCTTGTCTCCCGCCCATGTACCATCCTCTTGTTTTAATGGAGGAATTTGGGCGATTAGTCTTTTAATTATTTTTTATTGCCTTCCATAGCGAGTAGTAAGTGGCTTCGCCTGGTATTAGATCTTCTAGATAATTTCTTATTTCGTCATTTTGTTTTTTTAAACTTTCGTTTAAGTTTTTGGGCCAAATTGTTGAGAATGTTTTTGTCTGCAGGGTCTCTCAATTGTTGTCATCTTCAGCTACCGTTTCTTTTCTGATTTACCATTTCTTTAATTTCCTTGGGGTAGTTGAAGCCTATTGTTTTATGCATAGTCTTTCTAGTATTACACCATGCTTTAGTCTGAATGATTGAAGTGAACTTCTCTGCTTCTTGATCTAATTGTACTGCCGTCTTTAGAGGAACATTAAGGACAATTTGTGCATCCACTTCTAAGGCAGAAATACTCCTGTCTGTAGGTAAATTAACTCGTGTTGGCTTGCATTGTTTTTTATTATCATTTCAATTAGCATCAGTCAGTAAAACTGCTGAGTGATCAGAATTTATAGCAACGATTTCTGTCATGTTAATGAAGGTAGAAGGAACTTTTTTGGCAATAAAAACAGTCTAATCTAAAAATCAGTTATTTTGATGCAGTCTGTTGGGCAGTAACTTGGTTTCCCTGTAGATTGATAGATGCACTCTTGCGTAACTTTCCTTAGGTGGCGACCATTGGTGTTAGTCCGGATTCCCAATCGACATGTTTAGCAACGAAATCTCCCCCTACAATGAACCTTTCGCCTAGGTGTCGAGCAGTCTGAACACTTGATTAAGCTATGGCGGGCAATATACAGCGCCATAGCTATTTTCGGTTTGACAGAGTTAATTACGACAACGGTGTGTTCTAATAATCATTGATTAACGGTCACTAATCACCACACATTTCTAATAATAAGCGTTTCCCCAGCTTTTTCTCCTGACAGCACAATCATTAAGAGGTATAACTGGCCTACTTCCGGTTCAATTTCCGATTTCTTTTCGCTAGTTTTAATATTTAAACTGTTGTTTTTTTTGTTAGTAACACCACAATTTTTACGCACTATCTCCACACCACACTATTGGCACTGTGCTGTACCCATTGACGAAATTTCAGGTCAATTTTCGTAGAATAAATCATCGAAAAAGAAACTTTTGTAGAGGGAAACAAAACACGTCTGATCGCGTTAAACGCCATTGCGAGGCTTTTTGAATAAAATAATTATGTGAATACATAAAAACGTAATAACTACGAATTAATAATTGAGTAAAGATATCGAGTCAGAAAAATACAGAAAGAAAAACTGACTGAAAGGCAAAGTTTCACCCTGAGAATGCTAAACTCGGAAGAAAGCCATATTCAACGTTGTACTTAAATGAAAAAAAAAAAAAAAAAAAACTTTCAATCCGACAAAAATCTGATACTGTTAATCAAACTCAAAACGAAGTAGGAATTCATTTTTCCGCGAAAAGAGTAACTACAGTAAAGGAATTATCTTGTCTGCTGCCCAAAGCCCTTTTCCTTTTTATTCCATTCGACTCACAACCTTCTAATTGTGCCGGCTCTGGGCTTTTTCCCTTTTGTTCAAGTTGGCATAAGTCTTTCCTTTTGTAACAGTTTGTAGTCTTTTTAATATAAATCAATTACATTTTTTTTGCAAATGTATCAATCAGTACTGTTTTTTAAATTATTATACACTGATATTTTCAGTTAGTTATTGATATGAAATTAAATATTCACATATAATGCATTTAACCCGCAAACTAAACTAGTACGAAGGAGAAATGCTGTTGTGCCTACAATTTACATATGAAATCGAAAAGAACAAAACAATACCACTTTTAGGTACACTCGTAATAAAACAACCAGATGGCACTCAAAAACCAAAAACCCAGATCTCTACCTCAACTTTACATCACACCATCCTCTTCTTACAATAATAAACACGACCAAAGGGCTACTTCACAGAATTATCACCCTGAGCCATGAATCTTTTCACCACAAGTACATAAAAATATATAAGCATATCCTATATAACAATCACCTACCCTAAACGCATAATCAACAGAATAATCAACAACTACAACACCATTCACTATTACTAATAATACTACATCAAATATATCAAATACAGACAAGCCAACATACATTTCCATGCCATTCATTCACGGCCTATCACATAAATTAAACACATTTCTCCCTTCCGATAACTTTAAATTAGCCTTCAAAAACTACAAAACAATTCACACACTTTTTTCCAAAATTAAAGGTCCCACACCAATAACAAATAAATCTGACGTAATCTAAAAAATCAATTGTTTAAATTGTCCAGCAACTTACATCGCAATTACACCCAATATCAGGATAAGAGTGTAGTACAACGTATCTATGATTGCAAAAAGCCCAAACAAAATCCTACAGCACTGGCTACTCACCATTTTGAACACCAACACAATTTCGACTTCGACAAGCCAAAAATATTACACAAAGAACAAAATAAACATAAACGTAACTTTTTAGAAATGGTTTACATCACATAGATAAACACAGCATCAATTACAGATCATACACATGTAAACTCAGTCGCAGCTACGCTAATATCATTAATCAAATTCAGTATGAGTAACATATATATATCATACAAAACATATAATACAAAATATAAAACAATTAACATTACACACATCAAACATTTCTACATAGTCTAATTATTCAACAATTTGTCTTTCCTTTGCCCAATTAACTCCGTCTATATAATCCTAAAAGGATAATCTGGCCGAACCATTACCCAGTTTTTCCCATTGTCGGCTCCTTTCACCTCAAAGAAGCCGACCCTTCATATAAAAATGTCATTCTATCCCGTCTTCCTTCCCCACTCCTTCAAAATCAAATTTATATAAACATAAAACATCAATATCTCACTGTGACTCTCAACACGACACACAAGAATGGCACAATTTCGCAGAAAACAAACACTTTGAGTGAGTACAAATACTTTGATTGAGTTGAAACTTACTATCATTGTATAAATTCATTTTTTTATGTTACGTATATTTAAATTGTAAATTCATTCGTATATTTAAACACGTTTATAAATCCCAGGCCCTGAAGATGATCTCAATAAGGATCGAAACGTTGGCACGATAAAGAAAATGTTTTTCTAAACTTATGTCACACCAGACCGCATCTCGCGATCTCCAAATAATCATTGATTAACGGTTACTAAACACAACACGTTTTAATAAAGATTCCAGGTATCTTTACATGTAACATATTTCGTTTCAGGATTAGCATTTACGTTATTGTATTTGTTTTAGATATCAAAAACTAAAGGTAAGGATACTTTCTTTTCATTGAAATTTGCAATGAAATCTCCCACAAAAGTTATTTTATCGTACGTGTTGTGCTTCTTCTTGAACCCATGCTGGAATTCCGGGATGATGTTATATTTTTCTACGAACCAATCCAGTCTAACCTCGGTCATTCTTTCGAATGTGTTTAAGATATAGGAAGAAAGAGCTATTGAGCGATAGGATGATGGATTGCCATGTGGCTTTCCACATAAAAGAAAAAAAGGGGTGAGCCTATCCCTGAATGGAATGACCACATAATCGTTCCTTTTATCCACACTGCGTTTAATACCTCAAGGAAAATTTGTTTGGCCGGGGAATGTATTGGTTCCTAAGGGAGTCGCGCTTAATAGTTCCGACATCTCAAAAGGTATCGCTACTTCGATGTCCTCGGTTTTAACTTCCTCGGGAGCTGTAGGTGGAGCAAGGTTTTCCAATAATTCGCTCATACAGTCCGGGTCAATGCGTGCCTTTAAAAGATTTACCCCTTCAAGTTGTTTTATTAAAATAAAAGCCTAAAGGCCAGCTTATATTAGTTTCTCTGTTTAACGGGTGGCAAAATTGTTGCCATCGTTCCTTTTCTTGTTCTTCAAAAGATTCCTACAGCGTGTCATTGCTCTGGTTGCGATTTTTCTTGTATTTTTGGAATTCTGCTTTTTGCGGTTCGCTAGCTGACGTTCGTTGTCCCATCAGTACTTTGGAGTATTTTTAAAACGGCTACGGTTGTTATTATTTGCGGCGTTGCGTTGTGGGTTTCATTGTGTTATTGAACTTAGAGATTAGTAAAGGTGTATATTCTCTCTGTAGACATAACTAGGAAAAGCCTAGATGGCTAGAAGTGGTCTTAATTCAAATAAAATTAAAATATAATTCAGTACTGTAGAGACAGAAAGAAAAATTAAATTAATTAAAAAAAGGGAGGGGGAGAAAAAAAGGAAGATTTATCTGTAACTAGAAGTGCGGCGATGTTTTCGTCCCCTAATCCCCTAGACTCCCTAGAGCCTTCAACACGTATGAACGGATCAAAGTCACAACGACTGCGTTTTATTTTTAGGAACGCATTATAAACGAGTTTTTCGTCAAATTCAAAGCAATTCTTGGACGATAGTGTATATCTTAGAGTAGTTTATTACCGATTTCTACAGTAATGATTAAAATATTTTTAGAATTTCGAAGAAACTATCAATTTGGCTGAAGAAAAATTAAAAGGAAACGAACCAAAGAAATAAACAGATAATAAAACGCAATAAAGGAAAAAGAAAAGGTAAAACAATATGGAAAGGATATGGTGATTTAAAGAAAAACAAACTCTAAAAATAGCATTAAGAAAAGCGTAGTGAAAGTCTGTTATTTTACAATAATGTTATTACGATAATAATGTAAATAATCAAACATGTTATTTTTTTCAGAAATTAAAAAAAAGGAAAAACAAGGCTGAGGCTATCAACCGTCTTATAAAGCCAAAATTAAATAAATCGAAATGTGCGGAAGAAAAATGTTTATGTCCTAACTTCGTAGCATGGATTCGAAGATTATTTGAAGATTAAACTTGTTTATTTTAGTTATTTGAATTTATTTTATTTTGGTTGGGTTATGTAAATAGATTTGATATTTTTTTAAATGTGAAGGATAATCTTTTACTTAGTAAGTTTTGATATTGTACTATAGTAAATAATGAAAAATGATTTGTTACCAAACCTTTATTCCGACACCAAGTTTTTTTTCTTTCTCTACAGTAGTAATAAAAGAAATAATAAAATTAAAAACCTTAATACATTTTATTTGACTTTTTTATTTGAAATGTATAAACTTATAAATAATCTTATTAACTTCTCAAAATTTGCAATAAATTATTAATTAGAATACAAAAGGTATATTAATTAATTGTGTGTCTCTTGAATCTGTAAGGCACTGCACCGCTACGGAAAACGATTTTTCTTTTTTGGGAACCCATCGGGAATATTTTTTCTCCAAAGGCGGTAATGATGTCAAACGGTTCTATCCTGCTAATATTTCTGACTGGACAGTGATTGTATTCTTTATCGGCAACCAACTGGACCATAGAATAAAAATTTACTATTTGTGATGTTGAAAAATTCAGTTTCAACCCTTTTACTTTCGATACAATTTCTGTTACATTTTTTCAGGGTCAAAAACTTACAACAGAATACGATTTAGGACTTGGCGAGACAAATTCAATAATAAAGCTATTTTTTCCGAAAGTCTCTAACTCGATCGTCATTTCTCCAAGCGAACGCCCTGTTTCGATTTTGTTTTCCCCTGGTTTGGACCTATAAATGATACTATCCGTGTCACAATATAAAACTCTACTCGCAAATTTTTCTTGATAATCATATAATTTTAATCTAGGTAGACACATTGTGTATGCGGTGTTCGAGCTGGGAATCTTCTTCGTCCTGATCGGTCCTATTAACAATTAATGTATCATCATTTATATGTTCGCGTGGCTACAGAGGGGCTGTTCAAAATTATAAAACTAAAGCGTTGCTCTTTGACAATTGATGTTTTCGCCAAATTTTCTCCTTGCCCTAGTTTACCCCAAAACGAATTCGCTTCTAGTTTTGATATCGACCGCCTGGCCGGATTTTTTCTATTTTGTCTATATCGAGGGGATTCCTTCTTCTCTCGCGCACTTCACAACGTATTATTTCAACAGTGTTTATTGTGACTCCGAAGAGAGCAGACTTATTGACGAGACTCGAGAAGATTAGTGCCGATCAACGTGATAAGTTCACAAGATTGTTTAAACATATTTTGTTCTCTAATTTAAACTCTTCTTTATTTTAATATCAATTTTTACTTTAAGTAAAGCAATTTTTTTTTTATATAAGGTGTCTTTACTTTCAGTAATGTCTCTTATAACAGTGGGGGTTTGAAATCCCCCGATCCCACCGATCACCGAGACCAAACTAAAGATGGTACAAAAAAATCCTCCGAAATGGATATTACCTTTACACCACTCTTAATTTCTAACTTTCAAAGTGTAATGCGATCAAACACAAGCAATAAAACATTTATAGGCGAAAACAATTCCAGAAAGCGACCAGCCCCAGAGACCGAACCAAAAGCGTACACCAAAATGATTTTTCGCAATATGGATGAAATTAAAACGGATAGAGCAACTAAATGACAAGAAATAAGAATTGAATTATCACACCATAACCATTTTGAAAAAGACAGCCCTGGCCCTTTCTTCGCGTCAGCAGAGGGTGGAAATGGAAACAAAGGAAACGCTCATCCCATGCTCTTCGGAAAGTGGTTATTCCAGGATGAATCTCTGAGATTAGAGTGACTGGTAGGAATAGAATAAAAATTACCACATTCGACAGGGAAACAGCGAACCATCTATCTCAGTGTGACATTCTAAAAAATGAAAACATATTTGTGTACCCATAGTCCCAGATTATTCTGTTAAAAAGGGGTAATACGTGATGTAGATCTAAACTTGACTGAAGGTGAGATTTTGAATAATTTGAAGTCCCCTATCAAACCATTTTCTGTGGAGAGGGTGAATAGTTATGTCAAAGACGGTGACAAGTTTAGGATCATACCTTTAGAACCATGCACAGTAACATTCCTAGGATCGAAATCACCGGATTTTGTCACGATCTACGGAAGCTATTGCCCGATTAGACCATACCACCAGAACGACAGTGCAACAACTGCCCACGATTCAACCACACTGCAGGTCAGTGTCGAAGTAAAGAGCGATGACTTAAATGCGATGGCGAACATCAAATCAAAGACTTCCGAAACGCCTCATTAGGACCGTCTTGTGTACACTGTACCAAAACTCACTTGTCCCATAGCAAAGATTGCGAGGTTTTCCAAAAAATTAACTTAGAAAACCAAAAAAATTTTTCGGAGACATCTTATATTTCGATTGTGTCGAGAAATCAATTGGACATGCTGAAAGACCTCCTGGAAATAAATCAGGAGGAGTTTCCTACTTTTCCGCTACCAAATAGTCGACGATGTTTTAGACGTACGTTAACGAGAATCAAACCCCCTTCGTCCACAATTTTCTCTCCGGTAGAAGGCCCCAATAGCCCAACTCGGGAATCCAATAATACCCCACAAAATCTCCCATCACGACCACTTGTCAATAACCTGCATACGTCAACAGAAATTGAAAAGTACTTACCTCAATTAAACAGTTTGACACAAAACTTACAGGAACATAAACGTAACACAACTACAACAGAAGCCATGGACATAATATGTCTTACACTATACAATCTTGCAGTTAAAAATCAAAGCACAGTGACAATCCTAGATAAAAAGTATAAAACGTCTCAAGCATCTTAACTAAAGATTCACCGCTAAATAATAAAACCAACTAGAACAGTAAATTCATATTCAGTCACTCATCTATACTAAAACATAGCCACATAAAGACAACAATAAGCACATTCCAAATAAATAAATTACAATACTCATGGGCTCACAACATAAGATGGAAAACTGAGTTTCATTAAACTGTCTTAGCCTTTTACAATGGAATATTCGTTCAATCAGTGCAAATAGGACATTTTTGAAAATCCTTATAACTCAAGAAAGATTTAATATCGGCCTACTATCAGAAACATACAGGAGGAGCAGCTCCCGAAGTTTCGGGTACGATCTGCTCCGCACAGAACGTCCGGGTGGGTATGCAGGCAGTGCAATTATTGTTAGAAATAACGTACGATACTCACGTATCAGAGTAACGAAAAACTGGAAAAACTTTATTCACATTACGGCTGTAAAAGTTTTCCTACTTGCCGGGAGTATATCAATTGTAACAATTTATCTCGCCATCGTGTCAGGAAATTTAGCTTCATAGTTGACATGGAACTTGGAAGAAGCATCATAGCACATATAACATAACACATAACATCATAACACGTAGCAACCTAGCAACTTTTTTGGGGGATACCAGTTTAAACTTTCTCAAAAAAAAACCACCCTAGGTGTCTTCTTTGACAAATCGGACGCATACAACTATGTAAGTCTTAATATTCTTAAAAAATCTATGATAGATTTGATGATCCCCAGCATCTTTATTAGGACAATTCCGGGATTAACTAATTCTAGAACGCTACATTTCGTATCGGATGGTTATGATTTCGTAGCAAGAGAAGAGTTCGTAGGGCTGCCTCAGGGAGCGGTTTTTAGCCCAATATTACCTTATGTTTACACCGCGTCCCTCAGTAAATAACCGCACTGAGCATTAAAACATTTCAATTCAGATGTGTATTTTACGGAAGTGCCGCGAAATCCCACTTGTCCCGGCTTGACCGGCTCCAATAAGAGCAGCTAGGTGCTGTATAGGAGCTATGGCATCCACACCTGCAAACGCTCTTCTACCGGAAGCAGGTATGTATCCACTACATGTAAGGCGTGGGAAGAACCTCTCCTATCGCATTAACGAGGTTTTACACCCAGCTATCAAAGCTCTCTTGAAAAATGCTCCACACCACCGTCAACTAAAACAGCATCATAAGGCGGGCAAACCATTCTTTCTTCGCTTATTAATGCGCATAACAAAAAACTCTTTCTGGATAAGCACATATTAACGCCCAAAAGCTTAGTCCCATGCAGATTACTCACCTACACCCTTAACACAATAACTTCGTACAGAGAACTTCACAATGGACCGGATTTCGTGGAAGAGTACTAAGAAGTAGGACGGAACGCCATTATTTATACAGACGGCTCAAAATCAGTGGAAGGAACTGTAGCAGCGGTATTGAACCTCTGACACTGTGATTCGGAAAAAAATATATGTACGATATTCTCCGCAGAAGTTAATAGCCATGGCGGAAGCCCTTCAGCACATATCTCAACATCGGTACGAAAATGCTATCATATTATCAGATAATTTTAGTGTGCTAACAGTTACAAAAGCTATGAAACAAACCCAAGTTTTCTTGAATCTGACCATTAAACGGATGTTACTGAATCTAGAACATTCAACAGAAGAGTCTCATGGCAACAGGAATACTAGCTAGCGATCAAAGCTAAGGGAAAGGTCTACGCCACCATTAAACCAGCAATACCATCCAAACCTTGATTCACAAACATAAATGACCGTAGGAGTCTTTTCCCCTCAATAATCCGTCTCCAGCTTAACCATAATAGTTTGCCCTACCACCTCCATAAAATAGGCGTCCTAGATTCTCCGGTATGTGAATTCGACGGGACGACCATGTCTGACCCTTACCATGATCTTTTCGCTTGCCCCTTGTCTTCCCGCGGGAGAGAAGACTTTTATCAAACTTTGATGGATAATGGAATTCTTCTACCTACCAAGAGTAGTTCCATTTTAAGCAAAGTCGCCAACAAAGAGATAATACAGGCCCTCTATACGATAGTAAATATAAATTAGCTAGTCATTTAAATAAACCTAATAATCAATTAATTTCCAGCATTTCATAAATTAGTCATTTTCCCTCGTTTATTTAACTTTGATTGCACTTGATTCGTTAAACAGGTTTTCTATCATATTGTAATATTCAGGCAATTTTCTTTCCGTTATAATAACTATTTATTAATTTTAAGTATTTTACTCTAACATGCCAGT